TATGGTTTATCAGATTTTTATAAATGGAGATATGTAATTTTATTGTAAAGATCAATAATGGTTATAGCTGGGAAAAGATACTTTACAAATATATATAGACCCAAGTGAAAGTAAGTTAATCATAGAACAGTGTTTCTCAAAATGTGATAGTTAAGTCACCAGCATGCTTTTTTGATGGTCTCATCTACAATGAATAGAAAAAAAATCTTTGCATGTAGGGATGGGGATACGGAATCTGCATTTTGAGTAAATAATAACAGCAAATGTTTTATGGCTGTTTACCATCTTTTAGGTACTATTGTAAGCACCTTACTTCACTCATTATTCACAGCAATTATGTGAAGTAGAGACATAGGTGACTAAGAAATTTGACTGATCAGCCAGTTAAAGTACAAGATTAGCATTGTTTGTAGAAAATATACCACATTCTTATCTCACCTTTGGGAACCACTGCTCTAGCCTAAGTTGTTTGAAGGTGGGAAAGCTTTATTCTGTATTCATAGTAATGTTGGGCAGGGAGAGAGGGCATAATTAAGAGTAGTACTTTATAATTCTGAGGATAAAAGTCTTTGTCATCATACACTGGGTAGTTTCTTCATGGATTACAAAGCTCAGCAGTATGAAGTACATTTTTTAGCACCATATTAAAGAAATATTTATTTTTAACAATTCAAGTAGTGAATACATAGTTTTCAATTTAATCTGTAATAAAACTTTGATGAAACTAAATGTTTTTAGATTATACAGTGAATGAACTGCAAACTCTGTGTCAATGTGGATGAGTCTGAGAAGTACAAATAAAGACTAGGTCAATGAAAGGTGCCAAACATACAAAACTAAACCACCACATGAATATGGTTAAAACCACAGGGATACAAATTAGAAAATTCAGTGTAGTGCCCACCTTAGGTGGGAGAGGGGTATACAGTTGGGGAGGAACTAAATAGGAGATGTCAGAGGTCTCGATCATGTTGGATATTTTAAACTATATGGTAGGTACATGAGTGTTCTGTTATTCTTTAGCTATGTATACATGTTATATAAACTTGTATGTGTGATATTTCATGATATTTAAAAAATTAAATCATTATGAGACAATCTCAACTTTAAAATGAGACCAATTTGGGACTTTTATAAAAATTTCCAGTTTGCAAAAGAATGCGATTCCTGGTACAGCCAACAGGTATGCTAGTGGCCAAAGCTCAGGCAATTAGATGCCAGTTTCCAGGACTTTGACCCTTGAGCTAGTGACTTTCAGAGAGAAATGAGCAGAGAAAGACAAGGCTGCTATTTGGTGTAACCTTCACTTTTTCTTGCCACCCAGTCTCTCAGGGGCTGTTTTGTTTCCTGATGGTTTTCCAAGCTGGTTTTCCAGCCTCCCCATTGGTTTTTAGGGTCTTCGATAGCTTTCTGTTAAAGACCTTGCCTTCCTTACCTCTTTCCTTTTTTCATTCTTAAATTAAAAACAAATTTGGTACTGTCTGGCCCCTTGCAAAAAATAATAAATTTGGAAATAGGTATTTCTAAACTACGTTTTAAAAAAACTTGTAAATGAGGAAGCCTTGTGGATTTTGAACCTACTTTTTAAAATGTAAAATAGTAGCACCTTAATTGCAAGAGTATAAAGAAAGATGAAAACCACAACAAAACTTTGTTCCACAATTGATAGATGGGATTGAAAAGTGGTTAATAAATATAGCCGACAATTTGATTTTATTTGCATTTAGATTTTTGAGTTTGTTTTTTTTTT